TCTTGTTACTTAGCAGTCAGAAGAGGCTGCCTAAGCTGTGTCTTTAGGATGGCCATGCCTGTCCTCTGATCTGAAATGCTGAGCTACAGAATAGTGGGAGACAGATGAACAAGCGGTGCATCTCTTGGAAGAACTGCGAACTTTGGGAGCAGGATAAGAAGGAATGTTGTGGTGATGTGTTATAAACAAATCAGGCAACCAAATCTGTATCAGCCCTGAAAGAACAGGCCTTCGTGTGACTGCATAGTGTTTTTAAGATGTCTAATAGCAAGCCTGAATGCTATCCAACAGGCAGCTGGAAATGCCCTGGAGTCCAGAAGAAGATCAAATTGTCTTTGTCCTAAACAAATTAAAGGCAGCACCTTCAGTTTAATCTAGTGTTTGAAGTCTTGTCTCTCCCAGAAAAAGGCTTGATGAAGAAAACTGTTAGGCAGATGGACTGACTGAAGTGTTAAAATTGAATTAAGATTGGTATTAAAATCTAGATGTGACCAGCAGTAATCCTATAAATTATGGGCTTTGTGAGACTGACTGCAGGGAGCTGCCTTTTTTGTGCTCTCCTACTTGAAATACTGGCTACAGTGAAGATAATTTGTATGGAAAAGGAGAAGGGCATTGCCTACCTCAGGCAGTAATGCACTAACTTTCAGGAGACAAAATCTTGTCTTGAGGAAGGAACACATGATGTTCTTCACACATTTTTTACACAGGATAAAAAAGCATCACTCCATCCTGAAGCAGAGGATATCTGAGGATATGCTGTGAAGTATATCCTAGGAGAGCCTCCATTACATGAAGGGAAGACAATAGTCCGAGTTTTAGTGTTTAGTGAAAAAATTCTCTGCAGAGCTTCGCAGAATATATATTTCATTTAACATCTCAAGTGGTTCTGGAATAATGTGTCTTGTTCAGTTTTCAGGAGTTTGCCAAGGCAGCACGTGAACTATTAGGTACAATGACACTGAACACTGAACAGCACAGAGCTGTGACTTGACCAAGTCTGCAAGAAACGAGAGGATAATCAACAGATGGGATGACAGATTTTTCAAGACAGAGGTACAAGACTGTCAAGTCCATATCAACATTTTAATGGTGCCTTTGATATTTAAACACCTCTCTTTTAGTTTAAACAAAATTTAAATATTCCAGTGCACTTCTATGCATTGCCCTATATCATGTCAGGGAGCTAACTTCCAGTAATTCTTTTTTTAATTCAACCCTAACTGAAGAGAGTGTCTTGTCAAAGGGTTGAATGAGAATTTTACAAGCAACGATAAGGACTTTCTCCATCAATTTTCCTAATTGCTGCAATCCAGAAAAACTGAGGATGTAGGAGACAGCATGAGTTTCCAAAGTACAGCAGAGACACAAAAGGCTTTGTTACGTACATTTAATTTTTTTAAAAAATACCAGTACAATAAGATGAAATAGAGATGTAAGTCTGAATTTAAACTCACAAGGCATGTAATTATTCAGCGTAAAAAGATATATATATATATACACAGTGGAATTTCAACTTACTAAGGGCCAATTTAATGAAAGAAAAGGACAACTAATGGACAACTGGAAAACAATAAAACGCATAAGAATCATATGAATTAATGTATTATTACTCTAAGCATTATCCCAGACCCAATTTAAGCATGAAGATCTGATTTTTGAAAGCTATTGAGCAATGTGCCATCAGTAGTCCTGTCTTACTATTTTTTCTAGGAATATAAGGTACAGATATATTTTTAGATATATCCGTTTATATCTTATACATAAGGATTAATGTGAGCCGTGATTGATATATTTATCTGTGAGTATCTGTTTATAAATTAAATACAATGTCCAGGTGCTTCTCACTCTTGCCATATCTAAGTATCACCAGTGGGTTAAATTCCTCTGAATTCTTCAGTTTCACTCCTGACTTTACAAGAAGGTACAACATACCCAATTTCAATGGTGTGGGCCCTTGCCAGAGGGGATGATTCTGTCTCAGTACAGAGTCATTGGAGGAAAATACTTTGAGGGATAGGAAAATCCTTTGTATAACAAGGAGAAAATCTTTTGAAAACGTGCCATAAAAAGATGGCTTTTCAGAAGAGCATTGTAAGAAATGCTGACAAGGTGGGTAATAATAACTTTGATAATGAATTCCTGAGTAAATAACTGAGATAAATCAATTCAGGCTTTGTCCCTCTTATGAGGGACAGCTTTGAAGGTATTCAAAAACTTGGCCTTTTTGAAAGACAGTTAATCAAGACAGTTAAAATACATAACTGAAAGAAAATTAAGTATCTACTTTTTGATGTTGAGAGATGGCATTTAGTCTCAGAACTTGAAACATCATCAGTCTCTCAGAGGACTTTCAATTCATCCCAACATTCTCGTTGCATCCTGAGGTAAGGAAATTATTTTCTCAATTCACAAACTAATTTCAAAAACTCAGAGCCCTTTCCCATAGTCTGTCGGGAGCAGTTCTGTGCTGACAGCAACAACTTTTTTATACCTTTTTTATTGTAATACTGGTTCCCAATGAAGCTAGTTCTTCCTTTGGAAGGTGACTTGACAGCCATAAGAAATCTCAGTATAAATCAAAGACCCATTTTCAGCCCAACAGGCTCAAATGACTTGGAAGTTCAGGTCTGTGCATGAGTTGTACTCAACACCCTAAATGTAGAAACATCATGCTAACTATGCTGTTACATTCAAGTTACATGACCCAGCCCATATAAAAGACCTAAAAGTAATGGGCATTTGTTCAGGCCATCGTGGCAAGGTTTGCAAGCTGAGCCATGGCATTATTCTGATTTAGCTATGTTGGTTTGCATTCTTAAATAAGGACTGCCTTTGGAGATGCTGCACTGTTTTCAGATGCACGGTGTCATACCCAGTGTCAGAGGAGACTTCTGTCATTAATTTGCATTATACAGAATTTTTTTTCTAGTGTAACCATATTTAGTTAAAGACCGTTTCCATCTGTTCAGCTTTTCTGTGTCTCACAGGTCCTGGAGACTTTTAGAAAGTGTAGTCAGGGGCTAAACTTCTAAATTGCATCCTGAATTCCCATTAGAATTAGAATTAGGCTGTCATTAGAGCCATTATAAGCTACCAGGGTGGCTGACCTTCAGTCATTTGAAACATTGAAGTTTCAAAAATGCATATTAATCATATCTATTCTATTGTTTTTCTGTGAGTCACCAGGTTTCCTTCAGCTGAGAAATATCTGTGTTGAAGAAAATCAGCAAATGCCATTTGTTTCTTCCACTTACCCTTTTGACTTCATTCTACCAGCTATATATCCATGTGTCATAGCAGGAGAGCTTAATATATCTTAGAGCTCTCCTTGCTTGATTTCTTCTACACACGTCCTCTCTTCACAGGAAACGTATTTATTTATTAGACCTTATTTATTCTCACAACGTACACTTACATTTAGCACATGCAGGCCTAAATCTTTTGAAAATAAATATTCTGAAAAGCTCTAACTTTGGGGCTTTTAAGATGTATCCTGTTTCTGCAAAGTATAGAGGAACCACAAAAATTATGGGGAAGTTCAAGAAAAACAGGATTCTCTCACTGATGCACACATTGTATGGGCACAGAAGGCAGAGATTAATACTTTATTGTTGGAAGCAAGCATAGCTGTGTAGGGATCCAGGTGTATTCTTAGAGCAGCAAAGCAGGCCAGAGAGGCACCTGTTGTACAGTCTGATGGCTGCACCGTCTCTGGACTGCTATTCATGAGGTGGCTGTGTACAAGAGCTTCTGGAAAGAAGGCATTCTCAGTTCCACAGAAAAACTCTCTATTTCTCAAATTTTTTTCCTCTTTTCATGCAGCAAGAACTCTGTCCCTGAGACAATGATTGTGGGTGCCAGGAGACAGCAGGATACTAGGAACAAACTTCTTGAGAGTTCTGCCATGAGTTCCTGAGAATCAGTTTCTGTGCTGTGCAGAATGGTGTAACTACAGATCAATTCTTCCTCTTGACTGTGAACTCCACAGTCCACTCTTCTGCTTGTACTTAATCTTGCCGTCTGGATGATATATGGACCATGCTGTTTCCTTGCCTGCTTTGGGGTTGGTGTGTTCAAACCCCCAGAGTTTTGTGATTCAAAATTCATGAATAATTGTTGAGGGCTCCACTGTGTCTGTGGAGGATAGTTTCATATCCCATTTACATGGGAATCAAGGTCCTGTTGGGTTTCTTTAAAAAAACTATCACCTTTTGAAATTCCAGTTGTTTCTGAAAGTCAGCAATTAGCAAATGTGTGTTCTGTATTTTAAGACAACAAAGCTGTCTGTTGTAGTATTACCGGTTTGCTTTTAGCTGCTGTGGGTGAGCAGAGGTTTGTATCTCTTCTGCTTGAAGAAATACATTGATAATGTTTTAGAAAACTGATTGTTCTGACCCTCCTGAGGCTAATTTTGAATAGCGCTGTGTGAATGTAACAACTTTCTAGAGGAACAAAAAACCACTTCGCTGCATTTGGTCACTGGGTAGAACTGCTAACATGCTTTGCAGTCCCATTTCTGGTTTTTCAGTGCACACACGACTTTTGGTACCAACCGCTGGGATACAGGAACTGTTTGTAATGAGCTCTCCAGAGATTTCTTGCACTGTGTGCACCCTTGAGCTATTCAGTCATGTCCTATGGACTTTGTGTTTTTCTGTTACTGATCTTTCTCATTATCTATGAGTGCTTCACAGCTGGGAGCAAACTTGGAAACTGTCTGAACAGCCCAGTGCACTGCTAGGTAAAGATGAATTAGCGTCAATCCTTGCTGTGCAAACTTGGTATCACTTCATGGCAGAACCTTGTGTCCTTTATATGTATTGAGATACGTGTGTTCCGTTTGCCAAAACATGTATATCATTACACAGTTGCAAATGTACAATGTTTCTGTCTCCACTTTCCTCCTAGTAGAATGTTGAATATTATATCAATAGCAAAGTGTGAAGGTAGGAGATGATGTCACTAAAACAAATATCCTTCTTTATTTTTCTTTGTAGATTAATGCAGCAAATAATTTCACCGGTTGCAGAGAGGAAGCAGAAGACAGTAACACTTATGAGCTTATGTTAGGCTTGGAAACTCAACCAGCCATGAGTAAGTCATGTTGTTAGACAGTTTTATTGGGTTTTGTATGTGCTGTATTAAGTGTTTGAAGTTATGGACAGAAAGGGCAAATTTATTCTAACACTTTCAACTTCCACGTGTTACTGCAACTTCCAGGGAAGGCAGATGTCCTAGGAGAAGGGGAAGGCAGTTGAGGGATTCAGCTATGATAACAAAGTTATCGCTCAGTAAGAGAGAACTCAGTGCAACCACACCTCCTTGTACATTCTGGAAATTTATCATCTCTACTCTGAACCTTGAAAACAGCTGAATTCTCCAAGTTCTCAGAGAACAGCCTTCAGATAAGGAGAGGCACTGCCTACAGGTGCAGTGAAGTCCTGTATGGAGGCACAGACAGTTGACGTTTTGCAGCTTGATGTTCATACTTCTAAGCATAGATTGTTGACAAGCTTATTGATGATCTGTGGTCATATACATTCCCCTTGAAAACTGCAGACAAAGTTGCTTATTTGCATTTACTGATAGCATATATTTTGCATATATCTTAAGAGTATCCTGGATCTATAATGCTAAATTTTATCCTCTTTCTATCTTGTTGACAATTTTATCTTTTTAACTGTCTCATACATATGAAAAGGAAGTTTCTTATTTGCTAAATTTAGGCTGGTTGCTTTAGCACATATAGGTGGATGATAGACACTGGAGAAAAACAGGTTAGCTCTGGTAGGTTTTCCAGTGTCTTTATCACACTGTATATGTGGACACATGGAAGAAGAAAACAAATTGTAACAGCTGGCCACATTAGCCAGCTAAATGCCCTAACCTCACATTTGAATCAATGGTGAAAGGCAGGCATCACCAAAGGATAACGCAGAATGGAAACCTACCTCAAGGGTTCAGTACAGTCTGATGATGGACTTGTGTAGTTACTCTATTATGTTACTGATCTTGACTACTAAAATTTTGATGCTGTACATAGCAGTTTAAAATGTACACTTTCACATCCCTCCACTGTATTCTTCTTCTGTGGTCCATGGGCCACTAAAGAAAGAATCACAGAACTGTGGAATCAATTAGGTTGTAAAAGACGTCTGAGATCATCGAGTCCAACCTATGATCCAACACCATCCTGTCAACTAGACCATGACACTGAGTGCCAGATCCGATCTTTTCTTAAACACTTCCAGGGATGGTGACTCCACCACCTCCCTGGGGAGCCCATTCTAGTGCCCTGTCACTCTGTGTAGAACTTCTTCTTAATGTCCAACCTAAACCTGCCCTGGTGCATCTTGAGACTGTGTCCTCCTGGCCTACTGCTGGTTGCCTGCAAGAAGAGGCTAGGTAGTTGTAGGGAGTGATGAAGTCTCTCCTGAGCCTCCTTTTCTCTAGGCTAAACAGCCACAGCTCTGCAGCCACTCCTCATAGGACTTGTGCTCGAGTCCCTTCACCAGCCTTGTTGCTCTTCTTTGGACATGCTCCAGGACCACAACATCCTTCCTGAACTGAGGGGCCAAGAACTGGACACAGTACTCGAGGTGCAGCCCCACCAGTGATGAGTACAGGGGCAGAATTACTTCCCATGTCCTGCTGGCCACACTATTCCTGATACAGGCCAGGATGCCACTGGTCTTCTAGGCCACCTGGGCAGAGGAGCTCTGTTTCTACAGGTGTACAGTCATGTCTCTCATGGGCAATGTTTATTTCATTTTAAGGAGAAAGCACCCAAAACCCCATTGTGTAAAAACAAGTACCACAGATATGTGAGCTGTGGTTTTATTTTGTTAAGTGTTGCACTGTGCTGCATTGAAACTCAAGTAATACAAATTATGCAGGCAAGGAGAGTGTATGTGATTTCATTCTGACAGCAGCTCTAGAAGAGTTTAACATTGCACGCACGAAGATGGCATGTATCAGAGTAGCAAGGTACAATGAAAACTTCCACTGTTCATTTGGTAAATATTTAAAAAGCTGTTCACTGGCAGTATGTATTTGACAGCTTTTCTACCGTATCAGTTCATAAAAGTTTTATTAGCCATTGTGTTGCTTCTGTGGGAATCCTTGAAACAGGAAATGTTTCCAGATGGCAAATTTTAAATGAAATAATGCATTCTTTAGTATTAAAAGCCAGGCAGAACCCGGGAGATCAATATGGAATTGGATCGAGATGCCAACACAAAACTGAAGTGGATGAGGAAAAGAAAGATGATGTAAGAGACAGCAGAGAGGAGACAGAACATGAAGATCAAGAAGAGGAGGAATCATATAGCTCTCACAACAGTCCTGACGATTTGTATGCCAACATACAGGATGATCTCAAAGAGAACAGAAGAGATTGCTTTCTCTGTAAGAGGCCACCCCCTCCTCCCCCTCGAAATCTGCCTGGCATCCTAAGACAGGACAATCTGCACAAATCACAAGGTACAGTCTTGGGAGGAAAATAAGCCCAGATACAAACATGTGCAAGTGCAGACTATGCGCTGCTGCAGAGATTACATATGATCACTTGTAACAAGAGTAGCTAGGCAGTATGGCCCTAATGCTGCAAAGCAAGCATGTGCATATGCACTTTGCTGCATCAAGATGTTCATGACCAGATCTGTCAGGTAATACATTGGTATGGGCTGTTGGGTTCATGTTTTCCTAACTATGCCTGTTTCAGAGAGCTGCCAAATAATGCACTGGATTTACAAGAGAGGCTTGAAACAAAAGATTGAGCTTGTATTTTTGTCAAGTTACCTTAAGTATTTACCATTTTAAAGCATTAAATACTGTCTTGATTTAATATAGCTTGGAATTTCACAGGTAAAATTAATAGAAAGTGACCATGTAGAGAGAAGTCTTATATTTTAGCTAATGTTATAGTTAGTTAGAAGTAAAAATCTATATTGTGTTGCAGATTGAAAAGAAAGGGAGAAATTCTGACTGTGAATTAAATGCTTTCCCTTTTTTATCTTTTTTTCTAATACTTATTCCCCAGAGAAAAAATCTAAAATTTTGTGTTGGGTTTGGTGAAAGTGATGAGAAGCCCAAAATGCTATTTGCATCTGTTTCAAAAGGGATGATCATCAATTTTTCTCACTGAGAAAATAAGTATGCAAAATAATCCAAGCTGAAATACCAGACTTAAATAGGGGAAAAAAAAAACTTCTTATTTGTTGTGGACACTACTGATTAGTGTGCACACAAACTGCTTCTCAGTTTCTCCACTGCTTATAACCGTTAACTCTGTTTTCAAATGTGGTGTAACCTATTAGAGTCTTAAATTACCATCACCAAGCACTCTGAAGTTCACATAATTAGACAGAAATAGCTCTCTAGTCTTATAACCTGCTATAGGTAGGATTTTTCCTGTGTTCTGCTGTCCAAGAAAAAGCTGGCTACATGCAGGAATCCATAGGTGAATTGTAAGAGAAAGAGGGGCAGAATAAAATTAATGCTAAAAATCCGTTTTGCTTCCCACAAAATACTCAACTGGAGCTATATGTGTGTATAAATGAGGGGTCAGTTTTGGCACACAGGATTTGTTAGTGTAGGTTTGGTATAAATGCCTGTCTTGGAATAGGTGTTACATGGCTATACCATCAAGTAGTAATGTGACCCTCTCTGTCAAACACCAGCTGTCTGTATGTGGGTACCAGCAAAGAAAGTTTCCTGGCTTTGTAGTGTCCTGTGCTGAATCCTGTCCCGGTAAAGCAGAGTTCATCTGAAAATGCTCCTGTGTGAAGAGTTCATTTAAAACGTGCTCTGAATTTTCCTATGTTTAGCCATAAAACATGATTGGGGAATGAGTTATCAGAATTCCTCTAAATGAGGATGATGCTTTCAAAGGGGAGCTCTAATGAGTCATTGCTATGTATTTGCAGTGAGCCGCTTGCTTTAGGAGTTGCTGTGGAGTACTTCAAAGGCAAGTCCCCTTTTCTTCAAGTCTGTGTTTTGGCAGTGGCCTGAGAGTGCCCCCTGTGGGAGTCAAAAAAAAAAGAATGTCCTACAGAGAAAGAAGCAGAACTTGTATAGTGACACAAAATATTATTCATATTAAATATGGCAGGTATATTAATCCCACTTGTTGTTTTAAAACATTTTTATATAATAGTCAGAATACATGTTGATATTCCATATTATTAATACATCCCATTTATAAATGATGCATCCCATTTACAAAGGTATCCCACTTTAAAAGGTTGTTTAGCTCCTCTGGACCCATAAATAGGTCATTCTTTAAATAGCAGCCAAACGATTGAAAACGCCAGTAGTGACCACAACCTAGTTTAGCAAATCCACATATGTACAGGCAGTAAATTACAACGCAAGGAAAAAATGAGTCAGTACAAGAATTCTAGGCAGGTCTACTGTTTTTGCAGGAAAGATGGGTAATCATCACAAGGGAGTTATAAACATTTATGGGAACACCAGCCTCAGTAACATCTTGTAACTCTTAGAAGTTTGTGGGGGTTTTAAAGACAAATCAAAGCAAACCCAGGTATCGGGAAACTCATCAATGCCTTTTAATGCTGTAAAATGTACAAGCTAAAGGAAAGCAAGTTCTAAGTAGTTGTACTATGAAATATATGAAATACAGGGAGTACAGAGAGGCATTTGCAGGTATTTGGGAGGTGTTTGGGTAGTCTTTGCACAGATTATAAGAGGTCATAAATTTTACCTACACTGTAAGGGGAATTTTTTTTTTTTGACCTTGGCCTACAGAACATCTTAGTAAAGCCCTCAAAACCATGTGGGACATTGAAGATGTAGGAAAGACAAAATCCAACATTTTCTAAGATAATTTCAGTTCTTAAGTCATTGTTGCAACAGGTAAGAAACAAAATGTTTTCCAGAATGCCAAGGGCCACAGGTACCACTTACTTGGCTTCACCATGAAACAACATGTTTGTGAGAGCACCTGTGGCACTCTGTATTTCTTCAAATAAGTCTAATTTTGTGGCTAATAGCTAAGAATCTATGTTTGATAATCTGATGTGAAATCAGGAGGAGTCCCTGAAGTTGTAATTATTCCTTTGGGACATTCTCTCTCCTGAGTTACATGATCAGAAGCCTCTGAAAATCAGAGCACTTTAGTTTAGAAGTGAAATTAGGTCTCTGAGTTACTTTAGGAAACTTAAAGCTTTAAGATAAGTCCTAATCTCCTTTCTTTACCCTTTACATGCAACGCAGTTTCTTCCTTTTTCAGAGAGGAATTTTGTGATGGACAGGAACAAAAGAGAACATGATGATGGACTCAAAACAGTGTGCTACAGAGAAGACCAAGATACATGCGAGGAAGACAGCGAGGAGGAACACCCATACACTGCTGTGAAACTGGAGGAATCTGTGTATGATTTCATAGTGGGTGAGGAGGAGGAGAAGAGGAAACATTGCAGGTCCTTTATCGCAAACAGGCCGCCAGCCCCTGCCCCTCGTCCCACGTGTTCACTGGTCAGAGAGGAGAACACGCCCTATATAGTCCAAGGTGAGCACTGCTGCTTTGTCAGTATCTTCTAGTAGAATGTAGACGTCTCTTCTGTTTGATGAATAACATTTTCTAAAAGACTAAGATCCCTGTTCAGTTACCTTCAAACCAACACATTGTTTCAGTCAACCTATTCTCACCCTTCAAATGAGCTGAGAACATCTCTGAGTGATGTTAATTTTCAGTTTGCATGTCAGATAGTATCACAATTTTTATTTAGCTTTTAAAAAATTATGAGAATATGAGGGAAAATTAAGAATCACTGAGCTAGCTGTGAGTGTATCTGTTCTAGCAGTTGCCTTTCAGTTTCTTTACTGAAATGATTTTACTTAATTCTGAGAGAGAAATTTCAGTCTTTTTTTTTTCTGATAAGAACAGTAGGGAGAAATGCCTGTGTGAGAATTCCTCTTCCAAATATCCTTTCTCCAATACAAAATGCTAGAATTGGCCACCGTTTCTAGGTACGATCATTTATATTTCTAGCGGGAAGGGTTATGTCCTTTTACCATTACTATGAAAACTGGGGAACGTTTTTGAGCTTATTCATGGAAATGTAAGGCTGGAAGGGATTTCAGGTATCTTTGCATTCCAATTCAAACCGAAGCCAAATTTCAAAGTAACAAAAGGAATTCAGTGAACTTACTGCAGAGATCTCTGTTTCAGTCCCAAAATCCATGCTGCCTGCATTTCCAGCCTCCTCTGCAAAAACCTGCCAAGGTATAAGAATATACATAAGAATAAATGGTAGAAAAATAGGCTGACAAAGGACACCATTAGATTGCTTACTGCATGCAGTGCATGTTTTGCACTAAATCAGAATTAATACTATGCAAAACATTCCACCAAATACAGAGGAGCACCTCCTTTTTCATACCTGTCTCAGTCAGTGATTTCTTTTATTCTTCTTAGCTAACTCTCTTCCTCCAGGCTGTATAACTCCAGGTTAGGGCCAGAATGCATGGACTAACGTATTCATCATTTAGTTGCTCTTTCTTCAACATATTCAGGAGGCATAAGTATGAATTATTACAGTAGTTACAGTGTAACCCAAGAATGGATGGGTATAGGGGACCTGTTACAGCTATAAAAGTCATGAAATGGCTGCTTTTACTGAGGTTGCTAGAGCAGCGTCTCAAATCTTGGTCCGCCATCATTATAGATAGGCCAGTGATTTGAAAACCCTTAATGTGAAGGTGCTTTATTTGGGGGATTGCTTTTACTGTCTATTATTGCACTGGAGTATTTCTGCTTTGTCTCCTCTAACTGTTTGCTAAGGAAGAGATTATGAGAGGAACTGCTTTGATGGGACTGTGGTTTACCATATATATATTTATATATACACACACCCACAAGGTTTTTACCTTTGTTTTTATAAGCAAGTAGTAGTAGACAAATTAGTTTCCTGTAGTTCTGTGAAATCAGCCCCTGACTCAAGTTCCTTTAGTTACATAGAACATGAGAAAAGTAGAAGCGCTTCAAGAAAGCTTCAGCTGACCACTCAGGCCTCTATTTTGCCTACCTGTATTTCTGGAGTATTTCGCTCTCCTGTTTGTGCAGGGATACCTGAGATAGCAAGTGAAATTTCAGACAGAAGGAATATACCTTCTGGTAAAAGATTTTTCTTGCTACTTGGATTGGCAATTTATGTTCTTCTTCTCCACAGTGGTTAAAAAATTCTTTATCCAGTCCAGCAACATCCCAGTTTCCAGTTTATTATATTAGAACTGCTTATATTCAGGAAAAAAAAAAAGATTGCTTCATCTATAATAACCAGAAAATTTCGTTCTAGTCCATCATTAAAATCTGCATGTGTTTGTGGCCATTCCTTTGTAATTTAATCTAATCAGTGTAAAATACTCTAGCTAGTTAGTGCATATACACATTTTTCATCCCTCAAATAAATTGATGATACTTTTGGGTTTTATTTTCATATATTGTATTAAAAAGTGTATTACAGAAGAGGCAAAGTCAAATAATCAAAAGTTAGAATTGAGGTAGTTTTGCTCTTCTTTCACCCTGCCACAAACATTGCAGTACAGTAATAAATATGCTCCTATTTATCACAGATATTTTGTTTCATCTAGTGTTTAAAGTGGTTAAGCATGAAAAACTTCAGTGTTTTTTATTCCCATTTTGTTTAAAATATAATTCATTCCTGCCTTAGGTCCCACATTTCAGACCCTCCTGTTTTAAACCCTTTGATTTGTTCTCTATCCGTTGAGGTTTTTGGATGCCCAATATGAAGTAACTAAGATTCTTGAGATTTAACAGCATTAGCTCATACTTTATTCATTCAAAGCCATTGATTTCAGTGGCCACTCAGACAAGCCTGATTGCTGGCTTAAATGACATATCTGGCATTATGCTAGGGCTTTGTTGGAAAGAGAAGTCCTGCTCTGCAGAGCAAATTTTAGTTCCTTAACTGAGGCATCCTCCCCTCCTCTGCATTTTCTCTTCATTTACTAAATACCTTTCAACTTATAAAACAAATAATTTAATATTCCTGTAAGAAACAGATTGTCTTCACTGCACAGTTCTGGTTGATCTCCAGAACCATTTCCTTCTGGTGTTTAGTAAGACACAGGTCCTGTGGAAAAATGGGATTAGAGAATGGAGCATGATGCACAGAGGAGGGCTGCGTTAAGGCCACGCAGTCACTCTCAACTGGATCCCCGTGTACTTTGGGAGTTAATGGAAAGAACAAGCTTCATGCCCAAAGGATTACAAGGACTGTTGTGATAGTGTCATACAGAGATGCAAGAGGAGGATTTCTTTTTATGTACCCATAGATGGGCTCGTTTATTGGAAAAAGAAAAAAGGCATTGCATAGCAGAAATGCCTTTTGGCTCTTGGATTGCATGCTGGTGACTACTTTTTAATTTATTTCTTAATATCTGGACAAATCAAGTAGCTGAATTCCCACAAATTGAACAAAGGCCATGAAGTTACAAAAGAGTATCTTTTCCTTTAAGCAGAAGAAGTGGTGTTTCCATGAAAATAGCAACAAAGAAGAAAGCGAGCAAATAGCTTTCTTTGAAATAAGCAGCTTCCAAATACATGGAATCTCAAGTTTACACTGGGCAGAAAGTCTGCTCCCTGTAGATTACCTCACTTGGTGCTCTGGAACAGGCTAGGGAAACTGTTGATCTATGGAAAACAAACATGGGACTTGACAAGCCAGTTTTTAGGGTCACTTTCAGAGTAAGAGCTATACTTCAAAACCTAGGCAGTAAACACTCAATGATGTAAGTTGTCATAACTGAACTACCACAATTTACAGTTTGAGCATCTGACTTGAATTTACTGACAAATAAATTCTAGGAAACATGGGGGAGTTGAAAGATTTAAAATGTAAGTGTTCTAATCGCTTTTACTCAGTTTAATTTATTCCATTTTCAAATTTTAATGAACATTCCAACTACTGTGCTGAACACTGGTAAACGTATACTGCATTTTTAACAATCAGAGAGTGCATTTGTTCTTTAATTTAGACCACTGCAAGAATTCTGTCTTCTGCATGAAAGGCTCGTCAACCAATGGAGCTGCAAATTAGTGCCAAATAGCTTGTTGTCCAGATGGTGTGCACTCTTAGTGTACTCCCTTACCATTCCTCAGGTGCTTATTATTCCTCTGTAGATATTTCAGTGGTTCTTTTTAGTTGTGTGCTGGCAAAACAACTGTTAAATAAATGTATGAAGACGTTGTGTTTTCCGTTTAGACTGCAATTTTAATGTTCCCTATTGATACCAGATTTGATTGAGCTGGATACCAAAGTTACTGGTGTATTTGTAGGGCAGGTGCATGAGTTTCTCTAATGCCCCCCTGCCATTTCTGAAGTCTGACCTACTAGGACTGCCTCAAGGTCAAGGATTACATTACTGTCCTGGTTTAATCATTTACCTCTTATCACAGACTCCTAGTATGAAAGGGTTCTCTGCAGCAAGGACACCTGTCCTACACCAGCATAAATAAAACTTCATATGCTACAGGCTTTGCTCCTTTGCAAATCTCTCACAACTCCCTGAAGGAACGTGTTACCCCTCTGTGCACTGAAAACATTTTATTATTTAAACATAGCTTTCTGTGGGACCTCATACTAGGGTTAAAAGTTAGAAGTGGAAAAGTATGTTTTCCAGTTACTGTTCCAAAAGAGAATAGCATTCTCAGTGCTCATCAAAATCACAGGGTATGCAGGAAAAGTAGCAGCCAGTGGATATTTTTAGGGAGGGAGAATATCTGACATACAGAATAGACAGCATAAACCCAACTGAAATGAATAAACAAAGTCCAGAACAGAGCTGTTAATGTCTTGGAAACTTACCAGGCTGATTACTGGGAACTGTAGTGATCGCATCCTGAGTCAGTAATTCTTATTATGCCAGTTGTTTAAATGCTCTAAAGCAGGGGGTTTCCAAAGTGAAGCCTAAGAGCCTATGCAAAACTGCAAAACATTTATGTCCCACAGAGGGATTTTGTAGTACTTTCCTACAGTGAGTGTAAAGTACTGCACTGCAGATGAATTTCATTATGTATTCCCAACTTAAGGATGTTTTTCCATGAATTACATGATACTAGGAAGCACTGTTTAGCTGGCTTTGAGTAGTTAGAGTGTTTTTACAGAACTGGTTGGAGAGTGGTATACCAGCTTCATCCACTATATTTATTCAGTCAGATTTTTTGCTATCTTAACTTTGGTAGATTGAAGCATGTACTGAATAAGGTGCACAGAGAGAAAAAATATTTATAGGATGCTGCCTGGTTGCAAACCAAACTCTTCCAGATAGCATACTTGTGGTAAAAACAAATAAAGAGTCTTCCTTTTTTTGTTTTTCCGTGCTCAAGAAAAATGGGACTGAAGAAATATATTCAGGTTTTGTGTGCTGGAGCAAATACTCTTGAGTGTATTGCTAACGTCCTTCCAACTTCCATGATCCACTAAGTTAAACTTCCAATAAGAGCAAAGGTGTGAGTTCTTTTCACTGTGTGTGGTACAGCAAGTACTTTGACAACACTCTTTGAACAGCATCTTGAACTAACCATCAGTACCTATTCTTCTCATTCATTCTTTACCCCTTCTGTAAAAAAGGGTTCTGGTATTATTTTTATTACCTTGCTTCAGTGTAGGGGAGTCATCTCTATGTAATGAAATCTCTAATGACCTCAGGACCTCTTGAGGTCCCTCTGTGACCAAACTTGCTGAGATTCTAACAGATTTGAGCTTTTATGCTCTGCAAAATTGGGGAGAGAATACATGGCGAACATTTGTTTATTTTTGGACTAATAATTTCACGTTGTCATTACACTGTAATTCTTTTTAAAACCATTCTGCTACTGGTCTGAGAAAATGGGATTTTTCATTCTCAGTCAGCTAAGTAGCTGTGCAAGGTAGAGGCTGACAATAGCCTGTTTAAGTTGTGATGAGTGGATGTGATGCTGTCACTGAAAAACTCAGGCAGCATGCACTGGGCCACTGCAAGTAACAGTGACGTGGCAGTAGGATATTTCTGCAAGTGCATTTGATCTCACCTAGTCTTTATTCTGATGAAATGACTGTTGTGTGTTATCAAAAATGTCTTGAGTGTCAAGCTGAACATTTAGACCAGATCAGAATTTCTGTACCAGCTGAGATGTGGTCACTCATTTTCTTGCACTTGTGCACTTAAAGCAGACTTTTTCCCTTTGCCTTGTCCTGGTGTTACGTGCATTCAGACACCTATGCTGCCACGACAGGACAGCTTCTGGGACTTGAGCCTTTGTTACCTTGCACTGTACAGCCATCCCTTCTCCACAATAATTAGATCAGATTCGTGAGGCATACTGATGCACTTTTGTTCTGTGCTCAGCTGCCTTCTCTTGGAAAAATAAAAAAGTCTGTTTACAGGGCCCCATTTCCTTAGTTGATTTCATATTAGGAGTCACTAGAATTTTTTTGTTTAATCTGAAATATGTGAAATATTTTGTGTAAGTTTTAGGAGTGGTTATTAGTCATCTTACAAAACTTACTGGTTAGCATTGGATTGATGACCTCTATCTAGTCCTCATGCTGAGTGCAGTTCACTGTGTTAGCAAACAAAACAGACAAAAGGAAAATGAAATCTAAAAAGATGGGAACAAATATCTGCAGAGTTCTCATCTCCTGAATAATAAGCATCATTCTACTATATTCCTTCCTTAGTATTCTCTGTGTATTTGTCATCCCTTGCTGTGCTACATCTAATTTACAATCTAATCCCTACCAGAAAAAAAGAACTTGCAAGTTTTATTTGCCTAGGTACTCTGCATACACAGTTTAGATGTTAAAATGTTTAAATACTGGGGAAAAGAATGGAATGGGCAAAGATACCTGCAACATATCCCGACTAGCAATTCACCCCTTCTTCTCTATTCTTCCATTAATCATTAATTAATTGCATGACAATTCTAAAATGAATGAAGCAAAAACCTACTAAGAACAAGGAGGAAACTTACAAGTTCATTGTAATTTGCATCTGAGTTGATATGTGTTAATAAGTGGAACCCTAGTGTATTAATTAATTTGAATTATCACTTAGTCTTGTGTTCGTATAAAGACGTTATTCCCCTGTATTTTGGTTTTGAATGTTTACTGAATAAAGTAGTCATGGTGATAGATAATTTTGGTTGGAACATCGGCTCAATGAAGCTGATGAATAAATGCATCTTGAATTTCCTAAGCAAGCTGAATTCAAAAGAGTGATATTTATTGATTGATTTTTTTTTTTTCCACTGTGTCTTTTCTCCTTTGTGTTTATGCTACTGGAAGGATGGACTAAGTATATAAGTATTAGGTATGATTAGCTCACATATTCTTTTAGAGGGTAGGTTCATCAGTCTAGCTTTGTTTGAATCACTAGTGCATAGTGGCAAACTGTTTGATTTTTAGAGGTAATGTTGCCAATACAGCACATAGGCGATATCCCTCATAGTTTAGATGGGTAAAGTAAAATATAAATTAGAAACCATTTCTTGGTTGATCATTGCCTCCTAACTGATATGAGTTCTCCTCTCCCATGATCTAACTCCTTCCACGTTTTGATTACCTGTGTTTCTAATTACATCACTAAGCAATTTTTGAAATGTCATAGTGCATCTGTGATTCCTTACTGTTACAGCTTTGTGTTAGAAACTCTATTAATTCTGAAAATCAAATTCCTGTTCTTTTTGTCAACTAAAAGCTGTTGTAAAAAATTTCTCTCTCTCTCTCTAGACCCCTTATACCCTGCACAGTTTCTTACACTATACAACACTGCTCTTAGTACAGAATTATACACAAGAGACTTAGATTTTAAGTGTTTCTAACCCTTCTGTTTGTGGTGATAACCATGAAAATATTAACCACATTTCAAAATCATAGCATTATTTACCTGCATGTGCAGACAGCCTGAAATAAGATCTGTAGCTAGTCTGATTGAGATGAAAAAGGCAATTCAGAGTTCCTTGGATCCCACTCACTTTCCAAGCCTTACGTTAAGGATTTTCCCAGGGTTCTGCATATTTGCCACAAAATTTGTGTTTCATCCCACTTTTTAAATGTTGCTTTCTGGTTTCAAGTCCTACTAGAAAATACTGCAGTAGTTTCATGCTTTCTGAGTTTGCTTTGCTGGAGGAATATTGAGGTTACATTACATTCCTAAAGAGCGATCTTACTGCCTAAGGCATAAAAATGTATTTAGGGCTTGCAAAAAACTTCATCTGTATCCTGTAGCAGCTGAAGAGAGGAGAGGGAATAAATGGAATTACTTATTAGTTCTCTTAGCCTCCTTTAATTCTGAGAAACTGCAAGGGAAGAAGAGATACGTTGTAGACAAAAATTATATAGCATATATCAGGTCAGGACATTTAATTTGTGGATTTTGACCTACAAGCGTCTATAGGTGCTTTAGCCAGTCACAACATGATTAAAAATTCAAAAGGACTCTCTTTCTGATCATACAGATGTTATTGAAATGTGCACATTAAGTATAAAAGTATAAAAGAAGTACTATACCCTTTTAATCAGATTTTCTGTACCTGTCTGCCATAGATTATATATATATTTATATATATATATATAAAAAAAAGGATTGTGGAATTTTGACACTTTAAAAAATTGCTTTATTAATCCTGCTTTGCTGAAGGTATATTTACTTTATCTTCCACAAAGAAATAATGGAAGATGACCATTCCTGTGCAAGATGACCTGTTTCTTTTATTTAACTGCTATATTCGAGTAGTTCATAAGAATATGGGAATGAAAGGGTGAATTGCCAGAGTCTTCCTTGAACCTATGGCAGTTGTACAGTGGAGTGTGCCTGTCTTTCCAGGCATTCCAGAAACAGGCGTTTGTTTTCACTGACCTCACCCACACTGAATGCTTACTGCCAACTAAAATCATTCCAACAAGATGCGGCACGTAAAGTGGTTTTAATAGTTCTGCTTTTCACTGGAGAAGTAATTCCATTTCTGATTACTCCGACACTGCAAAACTCAGCAGAAATTTCAAAGTCTATCAATTAAAGTGCTTTCTAATCAGGCACACTGTTGAGTATGTCCCTTCTCCTTATGCAGTAAAATTCAGGCTGCCTGCATTATGTCTGTGTTCTCATTACTTTAATTTCATCTTTTAAAGGAGAATACTATTTCAATTATAGAAGAAAATACTGCAACCATATTTAGCAGGATACTTTGAGAATGACAGAAGAGTATTACAAAAGTTAAAATCTGTCAGTATTAGGCTGAGCTAGGGACATAACATCATCAGCTTATGCTGCCTGTGTTTTCTCTCTGCATTTAGGCTGAGAACTTTTTTAATGAACATCAAGTCCCTAGCTGTTTTCATTCATCATCACCTTCATACAAACCTACGCAGGAGTTAGCATAAAAACTTTGTTCTGCAGTGTAGAAAACACACCCTTATGAATTGCTTCTTCCTCACCTCTGCATGCAGCATGTGCTGAGTTTAGGTGTAACAGTGGTCTTGATCATCCATTTTACAAGTTGCCGTGAGAGAAGGAGATGCACTGTACAAGGCAGCCCTGGGCAGGCAGACAAGGTGCAAACCAAGCTCCACTGGGTTTCCCTGGTCCACAGGAGCAAGAAACCAGGACTCCAGGCTACCACGCCGAGCCTGTTCTGCTGCTTGAGCAGAGCTCCGTTGTACTGGGCCTCAGTCCCCAAGCAAATATTTGCTCCATTGAACTGGCACATTTGCTGCATTGCAGTGATGACAGAGGATTACTTAATTGGAAGGAATTATTCTAGATTGTCATTTGTTTAGCTAAAATCAGAACTGAGACTTAAGAGGAAAAGCTTGTGTGGCAGTAGCTAAGTCAGAAATTCCCACTTTCTGGGTTTTACTGTGCTGCCAGCAAAAGTTTGACAGGGCATATCCAGGCTGGCTGTACTCTGGGCACTTAACAGGAATGGGGATGATGGGCTACACTAACAAGAGTGATTGTGCTTTGCTGTTCCTAGGACTTGAATAAAATAGACAAAACTATACACATACTCTTTCTTTAGCAGTGTCATTATTCTCACCTGGTACTATTTGGTTTATTTCTGCCTTAGCTTTCCCCAAAAATTAATAAGCAGGCTACAGTAAGTGTCTGTACCATATGAAGAACTCTGAGATCTAGCTGTTTCTTCTGAACAAGTAACATGTTAAGGTGATAAGTCCATTTTATTTTCTTAAAAGCTTTTTGTCATGGTATCTATAATATCAGTAATCCTGCCATTCTGTGCAATAGAACAATTTTTCAAGTAATTAACATTAGACTGACAAGTGGGTTGAAAAGTACTGCTAGGCTAGAACAAAAAATTTATTCCAGCCTGCTTTTATGAGTCTACTTCCTTTGTTCAGAATGTGTGAAAAATTGCCATTTTTCAACTTCCTTGTATTCTTAATGTTATTGCAGTGTTTCAGCAAAAGGCCACTCGAGTGACCAGTGACAAAAACAGGACGTATTGCGACGCTAAGAAGCACGGTACAGAATTTAATTTAGCTCTTTAACTGCCTTGATATTTTTCAGTAGAACTAGTAGAGATTTGCTGTGACTTGATTTTGGCTAATTTAGCATCTGTTTTGCCACCTGTGATTTATGTCCTTGATGGTATTGCAGCATTAAGAGATCAGATTAAAGAAAGAAGAATAAAAGTTATAGTCTTGTAGGAAAGATTTGTAGAGTCAGAGTTACTTCACATTTTTCTGTTTCCTTTCATTATTGTGATTAAAACCAAGAAAAGGAAAGACAGGAGGGCTCAGCTGTGCACTAATGCCAACCATGGAAAGATGGCAGTGTGGGGAGCAACAGTTCTCTCCTGGGTACCCCAAGATCCATGTAAAATTAGTTACCTGTGGCAATCCAGTTATTATTTGAGTTGCAGCACTTCAAAATGTTACTACTGTAAATTCCATTAATGGTAACCTAAAATAATTAACAATGTTGTGTACAAAATGAATGAACACTGAGTGAAGATATTTCCTCCTGCTTCAGTTATCAAGTAGCAGGTCAGGATTAAATCATATAGAGCAGCATGTAATCACTAATTTATTACTGTACTGGGGAACTGCAGTGAAGTTGGAGAGGGAATGAGAAAAAAGGCACTGTGGATATTTTTTATGTCTTAACACAGCAACAATTTCATTTAAAACGTCAGTACTCTAGCTGTAGTGGTAGAAGGAAGTGTAGTGCTAGAGGGAAGTTCTTGTATGAACCAACACTAGTGGAGAATCCATGGACCAGGGCAATATGTTTAAGATGCTACTCTGCTGCCAAAGAGTAATGGTAGAATCCTCATTGATTTGTTGCATTTTTCATTTCTCTCTTTCTCCATTTTTTTGTAGCACATAGAGGCCACACTGACACAGCAACTTACGGCATCGTGAAACACAACCTCCCTGCTGAACAGGAAGAACTCATCCACTTGCAGGAACAGGTGAAAAAGGGGGCAATTTCTGTGGATGAAGCCCTGGACAGATTTAAACGGTGGCAGAAGGAAAAAGAGAGACTACAGTCCACTCAACAAGTATGAATCTGAAATTTGTTTCTTGACAGGAATCTTGATCAGAAGTTCTAGAAACAAAATCTTGTGTTTTGGCTCCTATATGTGAGGTCAGAAATAAGAGTCGTGGTTTATCTGCCAGTCAGCTCCCAAGGAGCTTGTTGCTTATGGTTCTGAATTTACTAGATACACATTTTCACTGTTGTTTAATTACTTGAGAGACTTCCTGAATTTACTTTGCCTGACTTCAGGTGCTGTTGCCACTGGTTAAAATCCCAAGTTAAATGTGTTGGTCTTCTAAGACCAGAAGTTTCTGTTTGAAACTGCTAGGTGATGCTTAGGTCTCTTCATCTTTCAAGAAACCACAAACTTTATGTAACCAAATGAGCTGAATGTTCTATTGAGCAGTGTCAACTAACAGAAACATAACTATATCAAGCATACATTTATTACAGTCAGTTAATATATACCAACTTACACCAGGCTTATGCATATCTGAAAATGTTGAATATACTTAGTGGAATTCAGAACTGTTAACAATCCTCTTCAGCTCCTTTGTATTCGATGTATGGAGTAAATTGAGGTGCACAAAAACAGGATTTACAAAAGCCCACACACTGAGTCACTGAAAAAACTGCATCAAAACTGCAGGCTATGGAGAGGAGGTTTGTTAATTACTTCTAAAAAGACATATGGAGGAAGAGGTTATGCCCTCATTTTATATGAAGTCATGCATTAAGAAAAATATTTTTTTGTTATCGTTTGAGTCATTTAGTAGAAAGAGGAAAACCAAAACTAGTCTGCTACTTTGCAGAGTGGGAGAGCTATCAGTTGCTGCCAACAAGGAGAGATTAGATGCTCTTTGTGTTTGCATCTACTGAAGAAATAGTCTGAGCTTAGTCATCACAGTGGAACACTTAATGGCAAAAGTGCAAGGGCCTAGAAGAGTTTAGCAGCCTGGTTCCTGGGCTGGGCACCAGGAGTGTGGCACTAGCTGTTCGGCAGTAGTGCAAGAGTGTGGTGGATGCCCCTTTCCAAATCCATCTGCAACCAAGCGCACAGATGAATTGTGGATATTGTTCTATCAGTCAGGAGAATTTCTTGTGGAGGAAGATGATATCTAATCTCTGCCATTATAGCAGCACTAAGCTATAAGTCTTCTTTTTTTTCTTGGTAAACTATAAGATGGCTGTATTTCAAGAAGGATTTACTTGGCCTGTTTTTACTGCTTCAGAGAAAAAGCTACTTTATAGTGGTCATTTATGACCTGCACTGCACGTGTGACTTCTCTTTGGTTTTGTTCCTTTTCTTTGGTTTTGTTCCACAGAAAAGTCTTTTGTTGTTACCCCTCTATAAACATGGTGAATTTACTTCATGCTATCACTGCAGTTGTCTGGTCTTCACTTGGATTTTTGAAGAAAAATAGCTTTTCCAGGACAAAAAAACACCAGAACCCCAAGTCTCAGTAATCTAATGCCAGAATCAATGTAACTTACTGATGGTGGAAACATCCCACAAGACTTAAGTATAAATGCTAAAATTACCATCATAAACATTTTTCAGCCTTTTAAAATTATTTTCCTGGAGAGAGAAGCTTGGTGTTCAGAATGCTAAAGAATTCAACTTCTTGTAGTCACTCATTATTTTTACCGTAAACTTCCATTTCTGTTTTCTGCTGCTGGTTTTATGCTTGTTTTTTACTTAAAGGAAAAAGTGCATCACCCTAGAGATACCACTATTGGAAACAGAGAAGAAAATTAAAATCTGAATGGTAAGTTGCATTTTTTCTGCCTTTTAGAACTCTGAAGCCTTGAACTGTAAGTATACTGCAAAGGTCCAATCCAAAGCCTTTTGGATCAGGCATTGAATTTGTAATGAGCATTTTCTGTATCTGACCACATTCAAGTTATGGTTGCATAATCAGGCCTTCAGCAGAGTCAAGATTTCATCCCAGAGACAAACTCACTGAGAGGTAACGGGGCAGAAAATTTACCAAGTATCTGTAGCTCAGCTTTTCTGTAGCCCATTTCCTACTGCATCATCACAATTAGGGTTGATGGTTTCTTTAGAACAATTTGCTTGATGACTTCAATATTTTATTTGTAAATCAGCCATCAGTTGGCACTTGCAAATTCTTGATGAACTTTCCACTGCTACAGCAGTTTTTATGAGTATTGTGAGTCATTAATTAAAAGTGCACCATTTGTCATTCAAGATACCTTTTTCCGTTTTGGGGGGAAAATGGACTTTTGGGGTTGTCCTGTGTAGGGCCAGCAGCTGGACTAGATGATCATTGTGGATGCCTTCCAACTCAGGATATTCTATGATTCTTTGTGATTGAATGTCATCTGCAACAGTATAAATCATCTTCATTTCCTAGAAACTGTTTTCTCTTGTTGTGAAAAGATTGTATTAAGCGGTATTGATTTTAGGCCTATGATTTCTGTAAAATTCAGTACAAATGCTGAAACAAAAGTTAGTGTTTCTTTTTTACATTGGACTCAGTACCATTTGTATATTGCTATTTAAAATTATCACCTAAATGTGTTATTTTGTTACTGCGAAAGAGAAAAATAATCCACAGTACTGCTTTCATTATTCTCTTACACATTGTTGTATTTATATGAACTTGTGAGATACTGTAGATAAATAAGGGAAAGCTGCCCAGTGGCAGCTTTGCAGTCCAGATATTTCAGTGTTAATATCCTCTGTGGCTGGTAGGGGTGCAGCATCAAAAGCCTTCACAAGGCACTCAGAACCTGAGGGCTTGGGGTCACTGCATTTGTACCTACAGCCTGTTTTCTGTAGGCAAGGCAAAGCTCATGTCAACAAGGAGGTGATTCTTGGAAAGTATTTGTCTGGGGTTTTTTAAGGCCAGATCTGTCCTACCTCTGTCCCTAGCTGTCCTCCCTCTCCAGAGTTCATTTATTGAATTGTATCAGCAGAAATGTAGTATCAACACCAGAATTGTAAATTTTGTGAAATTATCCAATAACTCAGATAATGATCACTATGTTCCCTTCTGATCTTAACCTCTTTGCCCTCTGTTACACTGTCGATGTCCTGTGTCACATATAAATCAGCAGCTTAGTGCTGCAGAAATACCGTGGGAAGAATCATTATGGAGGCCCCTGTCTTGTCCAGCACTGCACTTTACTATCAGATATTTCAATGCTTGAAAATGAGGACTTCCTCTACAGCTGGAGGCATAGTGAGGGCAAGAATTAAGAAGGATGTCAGAAAACTAATACTTAAGTCCAGACAGAAATACATTGCCTGAAACAAAAATGAAAGTTACTTTATTTTCTCCTTCAAAGTTTGTAAGGAAAGCAGACCAGAGAGCATTAATTTGAGAGACTTTTTTTTTCACATGCCATTTAATAAAGCAGGATATATGAATGTTAGCAGTCCTTAGGTATGTTTCAAGAATTCTAGTTTTTACATCTGTATACAGACTCTCCATTCTGTACCTTTAAAAACATGGGCCTCTCTCTCCTGATTCCATGGTTGAAATAAGGGTTTGCATAGTCTTTTTCGTAGACAGTTTCTGAAGTCTTGATTGAGGATTTAAAGAGATCACATCAGAAGCCTGGTAGGAAAGGAATTTGCTTTTATTTTAATGAGAAAAGAAAATATCTCTTATAAATTAGTGTGGAACATAATTTTTAGTTTCTTGATAAGTTTGATCTTGCTTCCCTGTAATGAAAGTTATTAATGAGAGTGGCACTTGGTTCAGTCTTCCATTATAACATTTGATGCTATCGCAAAGTTCACGTCTCCGTTTGCAACAGTTTAATATATGACTGAATAACACCCAAAAAAAAATCAACTGCAAAGCAAAAAGTTCTGCCACTCTTGGAGCAAAATATCTACAAAAACCTATTTAGAGAATAACTAAATAAGGCCTGGAATGTTCATTTGCAGAAGGTAGAGGCACAGACAATGGTTTATCTCAATACTGTATAATATGGTCTGTCCCATAGACATTGATAATATCTTCTCTTTTTTTCCGAGAAAGTAAATAGGATGTTAGCCAGCAGAACAAAACCAATAAAAACAAATAACTTTAATAAAATTTCAGGGAAATACATAAAAGATTTGTGGGCAAAAGGCCCATTTTGAAATTTAAGTAGCTGAGATTTTTTAGGGTGCACCACCAAAGTAACCTGTTGCCCATGGGAAACTATCTGTAAGCAAGGCTCACACACTAATTGGAAAGCTGCCTTGCCACCCCTGAAGTACTACAGAGTAGGAGAGACAGCAGAGTGGAGAGAACAACAGAATCGAAGGTTTGAGAGTCTTGGGTTTGTGTGTGTCCACTAAGAAAATGAATGGCAACAGCTGAGACAGGATTTATGCAAGGATTATTAGACAAGTTTCCTTTAAAGTCTTAAAAAACAATGCAGCTTCCACATGCATTCCAGGTCTATTCTTATTAGCACATAGGCATCATATTGTTTTTTAAACACTTCTGTCTGCATCATTGGCCATTTGAATTACCTGTGAAAATGAGATTTCATAATCTGCCATCTATTGCAGTTGCATTGTGGCACCTCATGTGCTACATACCACCAATTTTGTCATCTAGCATCTAAAAATATGCACAAGATTGCAGAAACTCCGTAAGATGGTTTTCGTTGCTTGTAGTGAGCTATCCTCTCATAGCTAATCTCTATAGAACCTTGAACAAGGGTTTGAAGGTCTTTAGGAATGCATAGTAAAGAGTAAGATTCCTCATCAAAACTGGGAATGACTGATGCTCTATTCTCCACTCTTGACATAGCAGCAAGAACTGATTAGTAGGTGTCACTGCTTCATTACTAGATAATGAGCAGCCATCAAAGACAAACTATAACTCAGATGGATTTCAGAAGACAAATACTGCATTAAACAAATGCTAAGCTTGATTTATTATTGTTGTTGGTTTTTTGTTGTTATTTAAATGCCAGCAACTTACATAATAGTTTTAAATGAAGGTAGGTCTTAGAAAAGACTAAATGCAAGATAAGTGGCCTGCTGTGGAAGGGTCAAAGCTTTTTCCCCGGGGATCTCAACTTTAACCATTTATTTCATAGCTGTTAAAATCAATAGGTACTTACACTGAAGTGGCCTTCATACTCAAGGACAGCTTTACTAACTGTTGCTATAGGCTGTTTAATACTGACCCACTCCTGTAAGGCACTATAAGTAACCAGGTCATCCACTGCGGTAAAGACATCCTCCACAGAACTTCTTCTTCCAGATTTTGATTTCCAAATTTGCAGATGCCCAACCAGCTGCCAGCGACCAACTCTCTTTCCCAACTTCATCCAAAAAAACCCATGCACAATGCACCTTTTACGAACTGGCAGTTTATTGATTACATTCACTATCCTAAATGTCTGGCTTCATTCCTCAGCCCTCATCAGCACCTTGTTTTTAATCCAAGTTGCTAATAGATTGCTTATTCATCAGTTGATACCACTCCAGCTTGCAGGTTGTGTCTGAGTAGAGTTCTTTGAAAACCCAAAAACCAGCACTTAATTTTGGGCACAATAACCAGTTTCTGTTGTCTCTACTAGGTCAATGAAGATGAACAAAGACCTTAATTTTGACATTTGAATCCATGGGCACTCAAACTTCTTTAATCAGCCCAGTTAGCAAAGTTAAAATAACTTGGGATCTCGAAGCACATACAAGCTTTTGTATATGTGGAGAGTGAGGAAGTCATAAAAAAGCATCTTTTTTCTTCATTACCTCAACAGTATGCATTTCAGTCAGGACCTCTAGTCTTTAAAATACTTACTCATTGGTAGTTTACAATAGTGTCCATTGGACTTGTGAAGCTACACCTTTAGCCTGGCTTACTTCCAATTTCTTCAGTATTTTGTAGCTTCACATGATGCTCAAACTTAATATCAAGAAAATAACAGAAATCAGTTTCCTGCCTGTTTGTCACTGAGTCAGGTGTTCATGAGGCAAGCTCACAGTCACACTGTTGACTGAGGAGTTCACCAAGGCAATGAATATTTGTGTACCCCTCAGCCTCTCTTAATTGCCACTCATAAAGACCAGACATGCTATTGGGAGTAAGCTTTGTACAAAATCTGCCTCATGTCATTCTCCCACACAACACCTGCTTATTTTTGTGGATGTCTCTTGCTCCCCTGCTCCCAGGGACATGTGTTGCCTTCACATTTGAAGTAAAACAAATAAGAAATTACTCATCCTAGGTATGTATTTTCTGAATTATTCAACTTTGAAAGACTTTGTGCACCAACCTAACTTACTGATATAAATGACTATTGATTGCATCTATTTCTTTTCAGTCTTCAACTAAGAGCCCAACAGACAAGGAACATATGCCTAATTAACAGAGGTAGGAGCACATGTATGAATGTGTGCCACACACACTCCCACAGACATACGTTATTTGTCATGGAAACTAATGCTTGTGGAAGTACTTTCCATCGGAGTGCATTTATGTAATAATAGAATGGAAGTGCAGCTCAGAAGTTCTGATTTCATAAGATAATAAACCATAATCATCACGGTCTGGTTTGTCCTAGAACTTTTTATCAGGTATCAACCTATTCATGTTTACTGCAGGGCAGATTAGCAAGCAGTTTAGGCACTTAGCTAACTTGTGGGTGCAGTTGAGAGTTCCTGTTAGTTATTGCAACTAATGCAGTTTATGCAGCTAAATGCTGTATTAGTCTAGTCCTACATACTGATTTCACATGCAGATTCAAACATATTGAATAAAGTTGAAAGCTATGAATGCA